CTGCTGCATGAGTGGTGTTTTGGGGTCTGTAGCATCCCACTGTGTGCTTCTGGTGCCTTGTTTTGTGAAGTCAAATTTCACTACTGCACCCGTTTAACTCTTAACTTTCTAACTCTAAACCAAAATAAATGTACCATACTTTCCAGACTATAGTGCACAAACTATGCATGTCTAAAAGTTGATATTTTACATCGTACAGTCTATCTACAGGTGTGGACTCTACAATTTTTGTTTCAAGATTGTTCATTATTACAAAACTGGTTAGGCCAGATTGCCGTGTTTTAGATATTTTACGCTGGGATAAAGTAATCAAGACAACCTCCTACTGTCAGTCTGTTTCCCAGGCTTTCGATACCTCGCATATGACATGTTTGCTTGGGAGCCTGCAAGCAACCAACTCAGGTCAAGCTTAATCTTGAGGAGCTCTGCAATTGGCTGACGAGCGGATCACAGAAAGCCCCCTGACATTCATTCGCAGATATCCCTTTTGTGGAGTTCTCCAGCCTGAAGTTTTCCCCAAGGACTATACACCGAGTGCGGACTATCTAAGAAAATACTTTTTCTTTTTAGCCGAAATTTACCCTTGCGCATTATACAACAGATTGTGTACTATAGTCTGGAAAATATGGTAGCTTGTTTTAATGTTTTAAGTCCTAAACTAAAAGAAGTGTAGCTTGATTTTTATGCAACTTTAGGGTCCTGAATGAAAGTCGCATGTGCAATGGAACAAAAAGTATACACTCGAAACGGAAGGCATCTAGATTGTTCTTCTGTTATAGTCATTTTTATCAAGAACCATTGTGATGTACTGAGGTAATCTGTATTGATTTTTGTTTTTTTTTCTTATTTTTACTAGCATCTTAAGCCTATGCTGTGATATTTAAAGAAAATATATTTGCTTATTTTTATGAAGGACATAGCTGGTTATTTTGTTGAGCTCACATAATCGTTCAATAAATGAGTATTCATTTAATTTGGCTTTTATTGACTCAAACCCCCCAATTGTTTCTCGATTTTTACTAGCATCTAGGCCTATATATGCTGTGATATTTGACGGAATGCCTCAAGTATTGTATTTTGATATGTGTGTGGAGGACATACCTCATTATTTTTTGTGGTCGCATAATAGCTCAATAAATAGTTATTAATATAGTTTTCCTTTCAGTTTTTTGTTTCTCATTTTATAACAACTTTTATTTACTTGCAGCCTAATCACATGCTGTTTGTATGCAGCTGATGCTACTCGCCATGCCTTGGGCGAATGTGTAAAGGTACTACGGCATACCAAGTATGACAACTCGTAACCACCTCATATGCAAGGCAAATGACCGACGAGCCAGAGCGGGATGCAAGGACCAAGTATCGGGATTGAACAAGCTAAGCTCCTTGTTGTTTATGTTTGTACCATACACTTTCTCACATTGCATAGTTTGCATGAGCAAGTGCTGATCATGCATGTGATGCATATCACACTTCTGTGTTGGCAGTTTGACAATTGGACACTTTTAATGACACATTGAGATTGGTGGCAGACTCCTTCTTTAATATGATGTTTGAGAATATCTCCCACTGATCTTTTCTAGTATACGAGTATTAAGACCATCAAGCAATTAATGAATTCAGAAGCTTTAGCCATGAAACAAATTCTGGGATATTTTTTTTTATTTTCCTTCCAAATTTTGTGGGAACTAAAACTTAAATCACGCAAGATTTTCCTGTAACTTCCGTGTGCACATAAGTTAAGCTTCACATTAAAATATTACCTTTTCTGCCATGCACATCTTGCCTTCATTATCGGACAGTGCATCTAGGCACAGCTGCTTCAAGTAGCATGTGTGCCGATGCATTGCACACATATCAAATAATGAATCCAGTTTCTGTAACGAGGTCCTATGCTGGCACTGTACTTTTGCATCTCCTTATTTCATCACTTATCTGGTCTGCATACTTCGTGGTTTTCTGGTTGCCATACCTGGTATACTGAACCCAGTTTGACAGGTGCTGAGATACAGGGTGATTCATTCTCATTGGAACAGATTCTTGTAAAATAAAACTTCAGTTTTATGCAAATTATCTTTTTACAGTTGAGTTATAGTGGTCCTGGCAGACACTTTATAGAGGCAAGATGACAGCTAAAAGTGGACTTATTGCATAAAATCCATGGATTAGCTTTTTAGTGACTGGTTTGATGACACCAGCACATATTGTGAAAATGGGGCAGTCACCTCAGACCAGCTTATTTTTCGTGAAATGAGCACTAACCTTAGAAAAACGATTGAGAAAGATTCTTGCGCACAAAACGGGTTGTGAGATACAGTACTTTCTGGACCGCTACATTACCGCTGCCTTTGGTGAAATTATATTTTCTTTTTTTTTGGCCTGTGTGCTCATTTCAAGATTTATAAAAAATTGACTGGTTTAAGGAGGTGATTGTCTTCAAGTTCGAAACAGCTGTCGAACCAGTAATTGAAAAAAGTTAATCAACTAATTTTAGATAATAGTCCACCTTTAGTGCCAGCCTGCCTGTACAAAGTGTCGGCTTGGCTAAATGCTCATCTGTAACGAGATCATCTGTGTAAATAAGATAAGTTTTGTTTTACAAAAGTCTATTTCGATTAGAATGAATCATCCTCGAGCACCCATTAAAATCAGCATCAGCACCCTTGGATTGGGGTGCATTGCACCTAGCACCCTATACACTTCACACCCCTATAGGGTGCTTTGGTACAGGGGTGCTCGTCCTGGGACAAGTGCTTTACACCCCTAAGGGGTGTAAAAAAGTTTAGTGTGTACCTCCCCTTGCTCCCTCGGCGAGTGCGACCAGTGCCCAAGAGCGGAAGAATCGACATTGGAAAAATTCAATATTGGACATGATGAGGAGGTAGTCTTCGCCACGTGGAATTTGGGGGAGTTTAGAAGACGCTGACGGCCGCAGCGTTTATCAAGGATCTTCAAAAGACTGTGATAAGGTGGATTCCCTATTGAAAATATTTCCATACTCGGCATACTGGGCCAGTATCAAACCGGATTATTGGACGGGCAAACTGGGAATACTGGTAGTGGTTTTACTGGGCATACTGGGCCAGTATCAAACTGGATTAATGGACGGGTATACTGGATGCACTGGAAATACTGGATATACTGGGCATATGATAAAACCAGCCATACTGGTCACACAGGTACACCGGTTTCACTGGTGAAAACGGTACAACTCGTACCTGAGACCAGTACAGCCAGCTTCACCACACTGAAAACTCAGGCTACAAACTATCACAACGATTTTATTTGCATAGAAATTTTAACCACTCCTTTAGTGGTTTTAACAATAAAAAATGGTAAATCCAAGGCTGAATAACTAACTGAAAATAGTCAGCCAAGAACCAAGTGTCTCGTATATTGAAGGCACCATGGTGCCTTCAATATACGAGACACTAACTAGAAAGAAAAGACTGACTAGACAATAAAAACATTCAGCGTGTGGCGCAACATAAAGTTCTAAGGATAACACAGTTTCACCTTCCATCCGAGCACAGGGGGAAGGGGGGGGGGGGGGGGCTATGAGTCACCCCAGGCAATCCAACGCTGGGAGGGTATCACGTGATGTTCTGGTTGGGCAGAGATCAAGGAAACATGGCGCTCTCTCAACGGTGGATTGGCTGGGGTGGCTGGTAGCATCCGCTGCGCTTGGAGAGGAGGTGAAACTAAGTATAAAAGAGAATTTAAAAAAAACAAAAAAACATTCATGGTGCGGTCAAATATGCTCGAGGCACCATACTGTCGGTCAAATATGCCCGAGTAAAGATTAAAAAAGTCCGACTATACAAGAAAAACAAAAAAACATTGCATGCATGGTGCCTTTATTATGCCTGAGGCACTAAAGAAGATAAAAGAAAGTCTAAATACGAGACATGACTCAACATGGGCTGGAAACTGGACTCTCCCAACTGTGGGTTTGGTGGCATGGACGTAGCGTCCGCCACACTTTGACAGAAGGTGAAACCAAATATAAAAAAGAATTTAAAAAAAACATTCAGGGTGTGGTGCAACGCCTGTCTGTCAAATATACCCGAGGCACCACACTGTAAAGATTAAAGTTTAACTACACAAGAACGAAAAAAACCATTGCATGGTGCTTTCAATATATTCGAGACACTAAACAAAATAAAAGAATGTGACTAGACAATAAACACATTCAACGTGTGGCGCGACATAAAGCCCTGAAGTTAACACATTGTTTCACCTTCCGTCCGAGCGCAGCGGAGGCAACAAGCCACCGCAGCCAATCCAGCGTCCGGATGGTATCACGTAATGTTCTGGTTGGGCGGAATTCAAGGAAACGTGACACTCTCTCAACGGTGGGTTGGCTGAGATGGCTGGTATCATCCGCTGCGCTTGGAGAGAAGGTGAAACCAAGTATAAAAGAGAATTTAAAAAAAAAAAACATTCATGGTGCGGTCAAATATGCTCGAGGCACCATACTGTCGGTCAAATATGCCCGAGTAAGGATTAAAAACGTCCGACTAGACAAACACTAAAAATACTATTCAATGGTTATTTCAATATACCCAACACACTAAACAAGACAAAAGAAAGTGACTAGACAATAAAAACATTTGTGTGGAGCAACATAAACCCCTAAAGCCTCCCATTCGAGCGCAGCGGAGGCTATGAGCCACACCAGGCAATCCAGCGTCCGGAGGGTATCACGTGATGTTCTGTTCGGGGGGAGCTCAAGCAAACATGACTCTCTCTCAACAGTGGGTTGGCTGAGATGGCTGGCAGCCTCCGCTGCGCTTGGACTGAAGGTGAGATCAAGTATAAAATAATAATAAAAAAAAAAAAAAAACATTCGTGGTGCGGTGCGACGCCTGTCGGTCAAATATGCACAACATAAAAACATGAAGGTAAAAAATTGCACTAAAAAAGAATAAAAGAAAAAAAAATTCTTCGATTAGAAAAGCGCCAGAAAACAAGGACAACAGGAAGAATAGACGAAACGATGCGCTGTTGTCCTTGTTTTCTGGCGCTTTTCTAATCTAAGATAAACCAACTTGCCCAACTCAACATTCTTTTACAGAAAAAATTCACTCTGCACTGCGGCACCTGGCAGGGCGGCCCAGATCCGAAAGAAAGTTCGTCATTGTATTGTTAATCTGTCGCAGACGGACAGCATGGTCTTCTTGGGGGTTGGCAGCCTCAGGGTTTGGGTGGTGGTTGATGTAGTAGCTCAAGGCGTCTGAAAGAAAATTGGATCAATAGTTACTAGTTAGAAGTAATGTAAGACCCGCATAAAATCAGAGTTCTTTTTTTTTCATATTTTGCCATGTAAAATTTGCGGCTCGTATTATACGCGGGTCCCGACAATTTTCAGCTTCAATGAGGCGCGATCTAACGCAGTTTGACATAGTTTCGGTTTCAAAGCAATATGGTGTTCAAAAGAGCTATCATCCCCATTAAAGGGTTAGGGAAACGAAATTACAGTGCTTATTTTCTAGCTTGAATGTGTTGCATGTTGCACCCTAACCTCAAAAACACCAGTCTTCCGTTGAAAGGCACAAGAAAACTAATTCTAAAGCTAAATAAACAATCTTTCAATGTGCACCTGGTGGATGCATGCGGAGCCTATTTGGGAGCTAATCTGACAATGTTGGGGAACTTGCTACGTACTCGTAACATAGCAGATTCCCTCGGAGCAGCGCCGCCCTTTGGAATTTCAACATTTTCCCTTTTAGCTTACCACCTAGCTCAAATCACATATGGCGTATTGTACCAAATGGTCGAAGGAGACAGAAAGGAAGGACTCCCCTCTTTCTTGGACCCTCGTTCGTGCAACCGGAAACAGCCATTCTCCCCACAGAAGATAGCCAGTCCCTCAAAACACAAATGTTACTTTCCCCACCCCGTTCAGCCCTAAGCTGACAGTGTTGTGGAAGCTACGTCCTCCATGGGCCAGTCACATGCTCGGTTGTAACGCACCGACGCTATTGACACCACCACAACTCTCACAATGCCACCAAGGGCAAAGCTCATAACCACGCCTGCCTTGCTACTCCATGGACGCGAGAAATCTTTTCTTTCTGTTTTTGTTTGCACCGGATATCCCGACGCATCGCGCTCTCCATTCGCTTCTCTTCGAGCGCTTGCTCGAGTGCACCGTTTGGAACGAACAATATAGCCAGTCATTCAAAATACAAACGTGTAATTATCATTTACGGTTATTATCCGTCATGCTTGACTCATTTCCAAACGAAATCTGAATATTTAAATTTTTGTTTCCGTACCCCTTTAAAATAGCAATGTCCGAGGTGCCACCATCTTCCGCAGTCAGGCTAGTTTTCGGGCCCGACGGTCCGAAAGCAACACTCTGCTGCCTTCAAAAGAAAAGTCATTTTGGTTGTGGAAGACATCGGCAACAGTGCTGCCGGGTGACAATTCGCCATAAATGAAGGCAGCATCACCCGATGAGACGACAAACGCAAGCTGATCGCGTGCAACGAAACGAGAAGCTTTAGAGGCCCAATGAATGGAGTGTTCGCCGACGTCGAGGCACATCTCAGCGACTTTGTGAAAGAGCAATGTAAATGGCACCTTGCTGTAAACATCGAGCTGCTGCATGAGAAGGCGAGAGAACTTTGGCAAGCCGACCCCCCACTGTGTTGCTTGCTCTATTCGCCGCGCCAAGTTTTCACTGCATCGGCGCACGCTCGTCTCTCGCCCTTTCAAGATGTGCGGGATTTCAGATGCACTTGACGGCACCGAAGCTGAAGACGACTGCCTTTGGGAAGAGGCGTCGAACAAGGAGTCTCATGGAAGTGATGACAGTGGTTGAGGTTTGATTACGACACAAATAAACATTTTTCTTAAAGGACACATGCAAAGGAAAAAAACATTTCTTGTAAACAGGCTAGATGGAAAAAGAATATTATAAAACGAATTTAAAACAAAGAAAAAAAATTTAGCTATATTTACGGCACAAAACGAATTTGTATCTGGCGCTCGCGGGTCAAAGTCACGCTGCCGCCGCCGCACGCTGAGCGTTGTGCGACGCCGCTTCAACGCGTTTCTCCGCACCACCGTCTCTGCACAGCACACAGGTCTATCACGTCGGCTTATGCTTTTCCAGGGATTTCCTTTGGGCTCTAGAAGTTTACTTATTAACCTTACTTTTTTGTTATACTTCAAACAAAGATGAGTAAGTTACTTTTAGAGGCCATAGGAAGCTTCCGAAAGAGCACAAGCACCACGTGATAAATATGGGCCAGTCACGTGATAAGTAAGGACCATTGTTCCGCGGCGCCAACAATAAATTCGTATAGCGCCGTAAATATAGCTCTAAGCATTTTTTTTCTTCGTTGGACTCTCAATTTGTTGTGTGGACTAATTGATCTTAAAAACTAGGGATGTCGCGAACCACCCTAGGTTCGATTTCGAAAGGTTTCGATATTTTCGAAGCGAGCTGAGGTTCGATTTCGAAAGGTTTCGATATTTCCGACCGTACGGAGGTTCCAATTCGAAAAATTCACAACTTTCCAATATCGTGGGGTTTCGAATTCGAAAAGTTCGAAGCTTTCACGGTTTCTAAAAGTTCGGGTTTGATTATTTCGAATATTTCTTTACTTGATGTTCGATAAATTCGAAGATTTCGAACTTCCCTAATTTGAAGTTCGAAAGATTCGAATTTCTTTGGATCTGAAGTTCGAAAACTTCGGACGTTTCGAATTCTTAAAGAAGTAAACTTCGATCAATTCGAAGATTTCAAATTTCTTTCTACATAAAGTTCGAAGGTTTCGATTCTCTTTTAGAGCTAAATTAAAAAAAAAAAAAAAAAAAAACTTTGAAGGTGTTTTAAATTTTTTTGAAGTCCGAGTGCGCAAAGTTAGAAGTCCGGTTGTCATGTTCCGCCAAAGTTTCAGTTTCAAATGATGTTTTCACGCCTCACTGGTTTTTACGAAATCAGGTTTAGAAAAGTTCGGGTGTGATATTTAAACTGTGCGAAGTTGGTCAGGCAACTAAATAAGACGACGAGTGTCCCGGACGTGCTGGAATATTTTCCAGTGCAGAGTGGCATGTGACAATAGATCAGTAATCGTGACCGTCAGCCCGGTGTGATCATTAACGTGCATCACGAAGTAGTGATCCTACGAACGCACCGTTTAACGATACTCATACAGTTCGAAACGGCAAGGGGCAGGCAGGTGATTGAGGCTCAGAAAAACCTTGAAGTGACCTGGCAAAATGTCCCCCCTACTCCCTTGCACGCTGGAAGTAATCCGATCGAACGCCGCCCGATTGACGCTGCATATAGTGAGTTTCGTTTACACATGATGCAAAATCTTGAAACTGGGAATGAAATTCGAAAGAAAAATTGTAAGACAGAAAGAAGGGGACAGGACAACGTCTCATACTGAACTCTGGGAATGAAATTTGAAAGAAAAAGTGTCAGAAGACAGAAAAAAGGGGACAGGCCAACGTCTCAAACTCACCTCAGGACAGTGTCTCAAACTCAACTCAGCTGAAAACTCAGCTCAGCCGAGTTTGAGACGTTGTCCTGTCCCTTTTTTTTCTTTCTTCTTACACTATTTTTTTGCGAATTTCATTTCCAGTCGCGGGATTTTGCATCATGATCAACATACACCAGCTCGCCTGCACCTTGACAATATTTTTGCTTGTAATTGCTTTGGAGGTTTATTTTTTGGCACGGAAGAAACGCCACGGCGAGCAAAAAGCACAAAAGCTGACACAACTTGAGGTCGAGGAGCGTTCTACCATACCAGTGGCGTCGGAAGAGGAAGAACGGGGGGGGGGGGGGCGCTCCAGCCTCTCTCCCCCCCCCCCCCCTCCAGGATATTTAGGATTGTTAAAGAAAACAATACGGGGAAACAGGGCATGATCGAACTTATTTAGTCTGAAATTATTTATGCATATGTAGAGCTACTGTCGCTCTTCACTGCATAAAAGATCGCGTAGATGGTCGTTGTTGGAAACTGGTTTTCAGAAGGCAGTACTCGTCACATGCTCGGTGGCTCGGAAGTTCAAAGCTATGCCTTTTTGACCTAAATAACTGTGCCATTGGTAATAAATAATGAATAATTAAACATAACAATAAGTGCAAAAATAAAAAAAATTGGAGAAAAAAATACTATCAAGAACCCGCCGGAAGTGTTGAATTCTTGCATATTCAGGAGGCCCAGAACTATGAAACAAATTTCTCCTACGAAAATCTGTACAGGCCAGAAGAAACACGTCCCAAAAGCGTAAAATGAAAAAAAAAAATTATGACGTGCTGAACTTGAAAAATTCTGAAAATCTTCCCCCATGAGATAATTTATTCCTCAACGTGAAAAAAATATATATACATTATTTTGTATTCTGTAGATGGTAATGATATGTAGTGCCTCTCGTGTTAATTTAAATACGATACCTCAAACAACGTAGGCGAAAAAATTACCAAGTTTAGGGCATAATTGCCCGTAGGTACCATGTTTGGATATTTCTTCAAAACTCGTCTTGAACAGCAATAATCATATCTTAAGACGACACTTACCTAGGCTATACATAGATCATTCTTAAAACAGTTTAACATCTCTGCCATAAATAGCTCCGGCTATAGCGTGCTTCAAATATGACACAAACGACAATTGTGAAAAACCCGTCGTCCTTCGTCCCTCCTTCGGGAATCAATTTCTTTAAAACCAAGCATGCCAGATGATTGAAATAAACGGCATTGTCTTTCGCAAGGAATGCGGCACCACATGCAAAATTGGGAAAAAAAATTACGAATGTACCTCACTGCTTGAATCCAAATGAAACCGGCCGCCGGTCTTTCGAAGTTCGAAGAACTTCGAACTTTCACCCTAAAAGTTCGAGTTCGAACTTTTGACTTTTCTGGAATCAAAAGTTCGACAATTTTCGAATTCTTTAGATTAATAAGTTCGAAAGTTCGAAAATTATCGACTTTCTCAGCGTAGAAAGTTCGAAAGTTCGAAAGGGTTCGAACCTTTTAGTGCAAGAACTTCGAAAGTTCGAAAATAATCGAATTTTTTAGTCTATCAAGTTCGAAAGTTCGACAAGCATCGAATTTTGCTGCGTCATAAGTTCGAAAAGCATCGAACTTCTCAGTTTAATAAGTTCGAAAATTTGACTTCGGTCGAATTTGTCCATATGGAAAGTTCGAAAATTCGAAATCGTTCGAACCGCTTGATTCGATCATCGAAACTTCGATTCGAAAAAAGTTCGCGACATCCCTATTAAAAACCCTGAATTTTGATACTGCCAGTTGCACTAACCAGACTGGTTTTTATATTTTCCTGGAATCCTTGGACAAGTTGTGTTTTCCTCTTCTATTTTGATTCAAACTTTTGTTCGTAAATGTCGCAGAAAGGTGTCTTCCTCCCCTCATCAGAAAAACGAGGTAGCCTCCCCATTATACAAGCTCTTGATGCTGGTGGCAGATTGAAGACAGAACAACAAAGTTTTGTTCAAGCATTTGAGAGTGCACATGATAAACACTATTCAAAAGCCACCTCTGCATCACATATCTAAATTCTGAAGATACACCAAAACTCATAGCTTACTTTTTACTGCGGCCACCTTCCTTGGTGTGAGTGCTTGCTTTGCTGCGGCTCCAAGTTTGGCCAGGCGACGGATGGCTTGGCCTGTCACGCTTCTTTGCTGCAGCTGTTCGATGGACCAGATGCACCGCATGAGATCTTTAGTGAATCTCTGGTCACTTGACAGTTTCAAAAGGTGCGTCATTTTTGTTTCGGAGAGGTAGACATCGTCTCCCAGATGAATCTGTGACAAAAGGCACGCAATAATAAGGAAGGATTCTATGAACAAAGCAGGATTTTGCTGAAATCATTTCGTAATATTGGTCGGTTTCAGGACATGCAATGCTTTAGTCACTCTAATGTTAAGGACCGTTCACACGCTTGCAACCTCTTAGAACCGAGTGCCTTGGAACCGTTTAATCTCTCTTACGACGAGATGACGAGAGGCAGTCCAGCATATTTTCTACTTCTCTTGTGCATTATCCTTTCTTTATTGGCTCGAAAAACGTTTGTCAACGTTATAAACGAGCCTGGTATTACAAACATTTGACCTCGGAAATCCAAAACCTCCGCTCTTGTGAAATGCAGTTCCAGAGTCACCGCATAGGTGTCACCAGCATGCCAGTGTGCTCTCTTGTCTTAAGTAATTTTAAGAGGTTTCAACAGGTCTCATCTCTCTTGGTCGTACTCGATTGCAAGTGTATGAAAGGGCCTCAAGTAACCAAAACACATGATGTCAGTTCAGTCCTCTCTGAACTTTAGTGCTTATATATTAGTCACCGATGTGCACAGAGGGATTGGAATACTGATTAGTGCGCCAAGCGCTGCGAAGAGGAGAAATCTCGAGTCATGACAGATGCATGCGGCACCTGCCGCGGAGAGAACGCCGAGAATGTCAACACATCGCACTTCTCGTAAGAGCGAGCAGTAGCTATGCTGATCATTGCAAGGCATTTCCTCAGCAGATGCACGGAGTGCTGGCTGATTCTTCCCTTACAAGGACAATGAAAAAAAAATGTAAACCAGTCACTTACATTCTTTTGCCTGACTTCATAGAGTGGTCGCAGTGGACCCTGGACAGCTGCATTCAGCTGGTGTGCTGTCCATGAAATATAAAAGTGTGTGCACTGATGAGATGAAATGGTTAGCTTGATTTTAGGCAGAATTTACAGAAACTCCCTAAGGATTCACAAGTACTTGACAAAGCATAAGTACAGCCTGTTCAAGGCGAACTCCATTCAACCTAAAATTTTGGGATTACGACGAACCCACATTGGAAAGGACTACAGTAAAACCTCGTTATAACAAAATGGGATAGAACAAACTAATGGATATAACAAAGCAATCATAATTCCCCTTGCTTGCTAATAGCGGAAAGAAATGGACATTGGCTATAACAAACTAATGGTTATAACAAAATAATTATGACCGCTCCTTCAACTTTGTTATAACGAGGTTTCACTGTATACTGTAAGTGGGGAAAACTTTCTGCGGCTATGAAGTTAGGGGGGCACTAAAGGAGGTTTCTGAGGTTGTTTTGGTGATAACTCACTTTAGAGCTCCAGGCAGCCAAAAAATTACAAAAGCATGATCATGCGCAACCTGACCGAACGACACACGGTGCTCAACAGCTAATCACAACTGCTCGCTTCCCACATGTATTTACCATGTATGTTAGTGTCCCAAATTAGCACTTCCTACGGCACCAGAAATTTGAATGACAGCATTCCGACTAACAAAAAAGCAGCAAAAACTCGTCATCGCTCGCCAGCGCTAACAATATCGCGCTTTGTACCCAACTGCTTTCTATGAGAAAACAAACGCGGATATCAATACAGTATAGACCACTTGCAACGTAACCGCTTATAGTGCAGGACCGGGTATAACGCGGCTTTTTTAAACCACCGGTTCGCCTCCCATAGAACTCCATGTATTTACATACCGCTTAAAATGCAGGCGCGCAAAGGGAAATACCGGTTATAGTGCGGTTTTTGGAACAGCGCGCCGACTGACCGGCGCTGCGAGCACGCTTCCCTGTGCGACACTAGATAACGGCACAAGCCGCAAGCGGCACTCGCAGGGCAAGGAGATTGCTCGAAGAAGCGAAGAGAGGATTCAGTTGCCATAGCGACGGAGGGACGCACGCACGTGTCGTTCACGTGCGTGCGTCCCTCCGCTGCGTTGGAAACAAACAACCGCAACGAGAGACCAATCGCAGGTCAAGGAGAAGTGTTCGCGCGCGTTGCATGCTGGTCGCGGACCGGCTGCTTCTATCCGCAAACATGGCGTCGGTGGTGATCGTCGACATAGACGGCATGGTAGAAGCTCATCGTTCCGCGTAAAAGCGCTATCCTTGACTGTGAATTTTCGTTGTGTGTCGCTATGATAACCCAGCACGTACTAGAAGGGAAGATCCACCTACTCGTGCGGCGATGTTGTGGTGGCACTCTCAAGACGGCAGAAACGCCCATGTCGTCGTGTTTGTTTACTTCGACTACAGTGGTGCTTTCTAAGCATTTGTGTTTTCGATCATTGTCCGGATTTCTTATTTGGAGCATTTCATGCCTGTGCTCAAGTTGAAGGTATTACTGGCGCGTACCGTATAAAGGATGCGAATTTTCCTGCGTTTTCATCGCCGGAGAAAAGTGATTAGGGTTAGCAATCCTGAACGCTCGCAACGTCCGTCCGCAACCCGCGACGCGTTAAAAGGCTGCGCCAGGCAAAAGTCACTAATTTCTTTCAAAATGTGTGACACACTTGAGAGAGAAGTGTACTAGCCTGGTGAAATAAAGACTTTCCTCAAACTAAGCTTAATTTTTCATCTAACATAAAATAAATTCTTTTACAAAGGTAAGTTGTCTGATGGCATGTATTTTGGCCTGAAAAATTGATGTTTCGGTTACAGTGCGGTACCGCTTATAGTGCGGATTTTTGCGACTCCCGCGACATACGTTATATGCGGTCTACACTGTACAATCATCAGACTTTGATGGCTCGGTTTACCAAGATTTCCAGCTTCGCCATGAACAGGACGTTGAGGAAGAGCCGCTGGTGGGGCAGGGTGTTGGTCCAGAGGAGGTGCTGCCACAGGGATGGCAGCGGGGCGATCCAAAGGGGGGACAGCTGCAGGGGCAGGAACGGGCTCTTGATCCAAAGGGGGGGCTGGAACGTTGTGTTGATCCATAGGGGGGGCTGCTGCAGGGGCGGGGGCATTGTGTTGATCCATCGGGGGGACAGCCACAGTGGCGGGAGCAGGGTGCTGAGGCAGAGAGGGTGCCGCTGCAGGAATGGGAGAAGCAAGGAGTAGAGCTGCCATTGACACGAGACCAAGGGAGGCAGCTGATGCTAGAGCACGCGGAAAAGATTGAGACCTATTCATTAATTTCGATCATTTAAACAAGCTCCTGGCTTTGAAGAACCTCAGCATCTTTAGAATGCCTGAAAACTGTATAGCTGAAAGATGCTTTATGGCCTTTACTGATTTAGCCTCCAACATGCAAAAGCGTGGCCTTTAATCTTCCCTGCGACATCAGAATGTCAGTAACCCAGACTTACCCGAGTGCGACGCAGAAGCAAGATCAGACCCATGGCGGCTGTTCGAAGCATGACGACCTAAAAAGTAAATACAATAATTGGTTCCTGGCTTTGCAAAACCTCAATATCTTTAGAATGCCTGAAAACTGTATAGCTGAAAGATGCTTTATGGCCTTTACTGATTTAGCCTCCAACATCCAAAAGCGTGGCCCTTAATCTTCCCTGCGACATCAGAATGTCAGTAACCCAGACTTACCCGAGTGCGACGTAGAAGCAAGATCAGACCCATGGCGGCTGTTCGAAGCATGACGACCTAAAAAGTAAATACAATAATTGGCTCCTGGCTTTGCAAAACCTCAATATCTTTAGAATGCCTGAAAACTGTATAGCTGAAAGATGCTTTATGGCCTTTACCGATTTAGCCTCCAACATCTAAAAGCGTGGCCTTTAATCTTCCCCGCGGCATTGGAATGTCAGTAATCCAGACTTACCCAAGTGGGACGTAGAAGCAAGATCAGACCCATCGCGACTGTTCGAAGATTGATGACCTAAGGAGTAAATACAATTATTGGCTCCTGGCTTTGCAGAACATCAATATCTTTAGAATGCCTGAAAACTTTCTAGCTGAAAGATGCTTTATGGCCTTTGCCGATTTAGCCTCCAACATCTAAAAGCGTGACCTTTAATCTTCCCCGCGGCATTAGAATGTCAGTAATCCAGACTTACCCAAGTGGGACGTAGAAGCAAGATCAGACCCATCGAGAATGTTCGAAGCTTGATGACCTAAGGAGTAAATACAATTATTGGCTCCTGGCTTTGCAGACCGTCAATATCTTTAAAATGCCTGAAAGCTTTCCAGCCGAAAGATGCTCTATGGCCTTTACCGATTTTGCCTCCAACATTCAAAAGCATGGCCTTTGATCTTGCCCATGACATTAGAATGTCAGTAATCTAGACTTACCCGAGTGTGATGTAGAAGCAAGATCAAAGCCATCGCGGCTGTTTGAAGCTCGACGACCTGAAAAGGAAATACAATTATTGATTAGCGCATGAAAAGACATGCTCTGAAGAGCAATTTACCAAGGGACACTGCAGCTCCGTTCTGTGAAGCCTTCTTACGGGCCACTTCTGCAAAAAATGGAAGTAGAAGCAATAGAAACACTGTTACACAAACAAAATCCATAAAACAGGGGTAGGACAGAAAAAAAAATTATTTTGGAGTAATTTTTGGACGAGGAAAATTTGCATTTTGCAGCAGCTTAGGACCAAAATATCCCACATTTCAGAACAGAAAGCATTGAAAACGCAGCTTTGATTATGGCCACTGCGCCCCAAATAAGTGAGCTTGACCACTGCACTGGAAACGCTGACCATCACGGTAAGTTCAAAATGGCATCACCGTCCATATTTGCAAATAGGTTAAAAAAAGCATCAATATTATGCAGAAAACAGCAGAAAACAATGATTTGGGAAAATGTAACCATTAAAGGGGCTATGACGGATAGATTATTCTTGATATGGAATGCTCATAGGCTACTTAGTAGATACACCAATTGTGCTATTTTTAGAGCTCTGGTAATTGCAATAATCGGTTTATAAATTTTTATCATTTTCATCTGGCGACCAGGCAACACTGCACAAGTTACTCACACCCATGGCGTCCATAAACCACGTGATCATGAACGCTCTCTCATTCAAGGCGCCCCCATGATCGCCCAAGCTCTCCCTCGCCGCGGCACAATCAAAACCGCTCACGCAGCACGGTAACCGACACGCTATTCTTGCTCTCGGCCCCGGCCCGTTCACCTTCCACCCTGCATGTGCCTGCGAGACATTCTAGGACGACGGTGACCACGCCGAGTTCGTCCATAACTCGCATCTCTGGAGCTGGTCGCCAGCGGGTTGCAGTCAAAATGAACAGCTTCCAACGTCTGTTGATAGCAATCACCCTCATTGCTGCTGCGGTCAATGTCGAACACTTTGACAAGGCGAGCAGCAATGCCGTAATCGTCACAGACCGTATGCTTGAAAAGCGGAAGGTAAACGAGGAAGCTGAAGCTCGAGACACCATGAGAGCCAAGTCTGTGAGCTTGCGCAAGGGGACGCCGCGTGGGAGGCTGGTGAAGTCACCAGCCTCCCAGCCAGGGTGGCATTTTCAAATAGGGCGGGTCCGAGGGACCCGCATATAAATCGATTCATCCACGAAACTAACGCGCCACTCTCAAAACAAACTTAGGAGGATTATAGAAACATACAATGGGTCCTAACAGTACAGTTATCTCATTTTATTTTTGGCATGTCATAACCCCCTAAAGGTGTATCCACACGACGGACCAAATTGCTGTTTCGGTCCGCGGGCCGCGCATCACGTGATCTTACGTCACCAGTTTTCGAGGTCCGCCGGTGGTCCGCGGACCGCGCTTCTGAGAAATGCCAAGTGACTTTTTTCGCCCGAACCTTGGCGGCGGACCGCGGCGTTTTTGGTATAATTGAAGTGCCAAGTCTGGCAACAAGCTGACTTTTGTTGTTTGGACTGGAATCCAAATCCAAAGTCGTTTTCTTTTGGCGCCAACTGGTGAAGACGAAGAAGACCAACCTTTTGTTGTGCTTCGATGGCGGTAAAGTGTGACGATGCAACTTTTTACTTAATCGCGCTCGTGGAGCAATTCCCCGCTCTGTGGGACAATAGATGCATGCCCTTTCCGGTTCACTTAAGTCCTCCACGTCCTCAATAGTCAACGCCAGGGCCACCGCGGCCAAACGTCTCTTTCGTTCAACCTCCATCTTGGCTCCTTACAAACAGCCTCAAAGCAGCTCGCTGCATGCGTTTGGCGGAGCTGTGAGATCGAGGGTTAGTCTGGCCCGTTCGCTCTGTCAATCTCTTTTGGTCCGCCGTGTGGATGCTCATTTCAGCCGGGCGGTCCGCGGGCCGCGCATCACGTGATCAATCGGTCCGCGGCCCGGTCCGTCGTGTGGATACACTTTAAGGGATGTCGAACCGAAATGTGGATTCCACAAAACATACAGCAAAAGCGTGCAATGGGATGCTACAAACACCAAAACATCACTCATCAGCAATATCTCTAACAGATGACTGTATTTAAAAAAAAAAAAAAGGCGTACTTGACAGAAATGTTTACGTCTCTTTTCTCTGAGGAGAGGCAACGGCCCTCGCGTCTTCACCTCGCCACCTTGAGGGGGCGAAGCGAAGAGAGGAGGAAACAAGATATCTTCACGTCACGCGCCTCGTCGGCCTGGTTCAATCTCGGCCTCTTTTTCCAAAAATATGGCCGTCCATTCGAGATATCGCCCAACGAGTAATGTTGTAGTGATTGTAGCGTCCAGACCTACATCTGCATTTTTTTTTTTTAATCCAAATTTTGGTTTACGATCCCTTAAATGATATTGAGGAATTTCAGATGAATTTTATATCGGACTGAGTTTGATGGCCATACTAATGCAGAATTTTAAATTATAGTTCTGCATTTCTTTAAATAAGCATTTGACACAATTAAGACGAAAGAGTGTCTAAGAGAGCAAATAGTTCAAAGCCGATTGGGCTAACCCAAATACTGCCCGCACCTTGCTGCTCCTAACACGGCAATGCAAGGCAGCAAAGCCCACCAAGCATGAAGGCCGTGACAGTGTGCACAGTGGTTAAGAGATAGGCAAGAAACGATTTGTAATTTCCCCCAAGTGCCCTGGCGCACATCCGACCAATAGACGATTTGCTATTTTCCCAAGCGCCCTGGCCCGCGCGCGAGGAATGGTGGGGAGACTGTCCCTCGCCTGGCCGCCCTGCCTTGAGATCGCATTGCCTCCTCTTAATTCTCGGTTTTTCAATTCCATTACTTACTTTTATCTATTCAAGCATATTTTTTTACGGCTTCTAAGTGTTTTTATTCTCATAGTATTTGTGTCTTTATTTTTCCTTTTTCGACGAGAGTGCCAACGGACAACGCGCCGCTTCGCGCGTCGTTCCCCAGGTGAGTACTACCGTTGCCACTGATTTCTATCGCGCTGTTCATTATAATTCAATTTGACCAGCGTGCAGTCGAGAGGAGCCATTTATGAACACCCGCGTGCATGTCATAGAGATAGGCAGAGGTCTGAATCAACAATCGCGACGCGAGAGCCCAGTACGCTGTGATTTGGCCGCCCGCACTCGCTCCGTTGACTCGGACTGTAGCGTGTGCCTTCGAGTGCCGCTTGCTTGACCAAGATACAGCACGCCGCTTTGTCGCCGCGGATCATTTGCCCGAATGCCTGCGAAACCGTAACACCATTCAGCATATCCAACGCTGCGGCGCCTGACAACTGCATGCAGTTGTCAGCACTTGAAAAAGGGTGTTTGCAACTGAAAACCGCTTAGCCTTAGCATATAGATCAGGGGTGGCCAAGCTGCGGCTCCCGAGCCGCATGCGGCTCTTCGCGTGTTAAAGTACGGCTCGCAACTCCCTCCCCTGTTCCACCCCACCCCCCCCCCCCCCCCCCCCGTTAAAAAGAGAAATGGAACGCGTTTTAAATCGAAAGACAGGTTGCGGGATTGTAGTCTTGTGCTACTGCTACCTTACGTACAGAGGGACTGCTTTTGACTCGGATAGATTAAAAGTAGCTCGAGTTCCGTTTATTTGTCTGAACAAAAGCCCCCCCCCCCCCCTACCCCCCCTTGCGGCTCTTGGAAGTTTCGTGGTTTTGTTTACGGCTCTTAGGCCGGGTCAGCCTGGCCACCTCTGATATAGATTAAGAAGGCATACCATAAGCGCCTGACAACTGCTGCAGTTGTCAGGCGCCGCAACGTTGCGTATGCCTCAGCTTCGCAAACGTTCGGACAAATTATTCGCGGCGACAAAGCGGCATGCTTATGTTGGTCAAGTAAGCGGCACTAGAAGGCATACGTTACAGTGCGAGTCAACGGAGAAAGCGCGGGCAGTCAAATCACAGCGCACCCGGCTCTCGCGTCGCGATTGTTGATTAAGAGCTCTGCCTACCCCTATGACATGTGCGCGGGTATTAATAAACTGCTCCCCTCAGCTGCACGCGGGTCAAATTGAACCAAAATAAGCAGCTAACAGCACGAAAGAAATCGGTAGCAACGGTAGTACTCACCCGAGGAACGACGCGCGAAGCGACATGTTGTCCTGTCGGCACTCCCGTCGAAAAAGGCAAAATAAAGGCACCAATACTATATATTTACAAGAAATATTGCACGCAGAAGAGAATAGAACCACTTAGAAACAATAAAAAAATACACTGGAATAGATAAAATTAGGTAATGGAATCGAAACACAGAGGATTAAGAGGAGGCAAGCGACAAGGCAATGCGATCTCAAGGCAGAGCGGCCAGGCGAGGGACAATCTCTCCCGTAATCCCTCGCGTGCGGGCCAGGGCACTTGGGGGATTTTGCAAAAGGTCTATTGTGGGAACAGCGTTTTCGTATGCCCAGTCCCCCGGCTGCTCTTCGATCAGATTGCCTTCCGTCGCCGTGCATGTCCTCTTTATCTTCGTTATTTAGCGTTAATTCTTTCTTTTCACATAATCTAGTTCATTATTTTCCTTTATATGTGTACTTATTTCGTTCTCCATGCCGTATTTTCCGTGCAAGATTCGCTCTTGTGTGTACATTTTGTCGCTTTCAAAACGAGTGTTGAGGGACGCCAGGCTGCTTCTGAAGCGAGTATTACTGTTTTCACCATGCACTATCCCACCATTAGCTCACTTATCTACCTGCATGCAATCACCAGACAATAGTTTCAAAAACCAGTGAACATGTCACCACTGAAAAACAAAACCGTAATTGCAAAGCGAAGGCAACAGTGCTTGGATTTGGCCGTTTGCGCTCGCTGTGTGAAATGTGAACATATGACATCAGACTACTGTTTGCGTGCCCAATATGGAAGAGGCAGCTTTGTCATCACGAATAGTGCATTTGCACGATCCTTTCCTGGCTTGCCGCAGTTGCGATCTGATGGCCATGTCTGGACTGCGATTTTCGTAAACAGTCGTATCTTCACCAAAACACACCTCAGGAGCAGCGAAAGAGGCGGTTTGGCGTCCATCAATGCCCACGTCGAAAACGACAGAAAAAACATGCAAGAGCAAATCGTACACAAAAAATACAGTAGGCAGAACGAAATAAGTACACTTATAATCACGAAAAAAAGACTGAGTCAACAAACACCGTTCCCACAAATCCTAGAACGCACGCCGTGGCATCTGGGAAAATGACATTGTCTATTCGGTTGTCGCAAAACTCTCAATGGTGCAATACTCTGTGCCGAGCCTCCAGATGCGTGCGACGAGTTTAGGCACATGCGCAGGAGATGTATAATGTCTGCAGCAAAGAAAAAACCCAATTCAAGTGAAATGTTTCACTAGCATTTGTTGCCGGCTCATTTTCGTTATTTACTTCAAATGTCTCCTACCAAAAGGCAGGCATGTTTCTAGTTAGGGACAACATTTCTTGGAATATCACAAACGATGAGGACATACGCACGACTATGACGCTCGTGCCCATAGCTTTTGACTGCATTGCCAAGAAAGGCGGTCCCCGAGTGCTCACTCGCCGCATCTTCCCTGGTGCTGGGGAATTTGGCACAGTCTAGTGGCAAAGCTGTCACACCCCTGATAAGACCGGTTCAAAGAAGCATACCAATCTTGTCCAGAAGGGCAAGGCCTAGCCGCCTGCTGTATTCCTTTTCCTCTCTCAAGCGCTTTCGAAGTTGGACAATGACTGCATTTTTTTGACGAAGTGAATTAGTCTCTTCATCACTCTCGCTGCTCTCTGACCTCGTTCTCTTCGTTCCCTGAAATGAGAATAGCAATAAGTGGGCTCTATGAGCACATAAAAATTGTTTATTTAATTTTCTACTTATAGAGCACTTTAATTATTCCCAGGCTTTTTCACCTTGGAGGTTTCTGTCCTGTTGGAGTTGTAGTCTTCGCACAATTTCTTTTGAGCAATAAGCTGTGCTTGTTTTCCGTTCTTTGGGTTTTTTGAAGACGTCTGTGCACCCAATGGAAAATATTACGCCAATTACATTATTGTTTCCTAAAGGTTGACAAACAACTAGCACTTTGTGCCATGCAGAACACCCTTCTCCAATGTCCTTCTCTCTCATCTACTTGCACAATGTAGCCTAAAACAGTACGATGAGCCGATGCACAGGCTCCGAAATTTCTATTTCGTGAAATTCTATAAAAGGTGTCTTCAAAGTTATGCCTCGATTTATTCACAACATCTGTAGTCAAGACACTCTATGAAATATTTTAGCTCTATGCTCCGTTTCATACATAGCGTGCAACGCAGTCAAAGCTAGTGCACCGGTTTGCACTGCCGACCATTCGTACGTTTGCCCCATAAGATAGTGCTGCCCCTGTAAAAAAAAACAAAGTAAAAAAATGTGCATCTTCGGAGCTAGTAACTGATAGCGGCGTTACAATTTCGACGAAACACCAATATATTTTTTTCTTTTCTTTTTCAATAAAAAGGAAAAAATAATGTTAACTACTTTAAATTGTTTTCCGTTTTCATTGGTGCGGCAGCCCCTTCGGGCTTTTGGGTTGTGCGGCTGGCCCCTGCCTCGCCGGTTTTGAGAACAGTCTTACACAGCAAGCCCAAGTACCTCTCCTGCTTGGTTATTTTCAAAGATTCGTTGTGCGGAGATCTCGAAAGAGTGCGAGCAGGTGAGCGCCAATGTGTACACGAGTACAAGAACAATTTTCCCGGAGACGTGTCAGTCCGTGAAGCCCTGGAGACTGTCAGTAACGACACCGGAGCGTGCGGCCATACTGTCGCGAAGTGCAAGGCACAGTGTCTATCTGGCAAGGTGGCGTTTCCGAAGCGAAGACCTTGCAACGTGAGTTTTGAGCACGTGGACCGTGTTGTGAACTGCCTTCAGTTATGTCTGGTGTTAAAATCGGCCTGATGGCTTCAAAGTGAAACAAGCCTTAAGAAGGAACCGCGCCGGTGATGAATAGTGCCTACGGCTCAGTTTGCTTGCAGGACCTTAAGGCCCGTTCACATTCTTTCAACCTAGTATGACCGAGAGAGATGAGATCTGTTAAAACTTCTTAAAATTTTTTAGGACGAGGGAACACACTGGCATTTTGGCGCCATCTATGCGGTGACCCTGGAACTGCGTTTCACAGGAGCAAAGGCTTTGCGGGATTTCTAAGGTCAAATGTGCGTAATACCTATAAGAACGGCTCGTTTATAACGTTGACAAAAGCTTTTTGGGCCAAGAAAGAAAGGATAATGCGAGAGAGAAATAGAAAACATGCCCGACCGCCAAGTTTACACTTGTACCCAATGGATGGCACCAGTGTGTCCTCTTGTTGTAATAGATATTAAGAGGTTCTAACAAAACCCGATTCTAAGAGGCCGCAAGAGTGTGAACGGGCCTTTAACCTTGGTTGGCTAGGCAGACAATGCCCGTGGCTGCATTTAGGTGCGTCTGGTTTCTTCTGCCTAAAGGCCCGTTCACACTCTTGCAACCGAGTACGACCGAGAAAGACCAGACCAATTTTTAAGCCTCTTGCGACCTCTTAGGACCGGATGCACTGTAGTGGAGCTGGTCCTAAGAGGTCGCAAGAGGCTTAAAAACCGGTCTGGTCTCTGTCGGTCGTACTCGGTTGCAAGAGTGTAAACGAAACTTTAGGGACCGCAACCTTGGTCGGCTAAGTGGACGACGCATGTGCCCGTGGCTGCATTCCGAGGCCCCTGCTTTCCTTGAAAAGAAAACAACACTCGACCCTGACCTCGAGTGCCATGTGGTGTGTACGCGTCTATTGTGAATCACTCTCAGTTCATGGGGCGCCGGCACCAGAGCAGCGAGAAACTGCCGTCTGGATGACTTCCGTACACCAGCGCCAGCATTCCAACTCTTAAGAAAACTTGGATGAAGTCGCATCCCAGTATTCGTTATATAAAGGCCCGTCCACTGCACTCTCAAGGTACTCTCCGATTTTCACGGTATCATGTAAATAAACGGTTTAAGCAGACACCCTGGATCTCAACCATTCTTACGTTTTAATGGGGCCGGCACTAGGTTCAAGCGGAACACCAACCCCTAGTCTACCCCCTTATAAATAAAAAGAAACAAGAAAAGAGGAACTGACCTATGCACTTCCGCAATGCACACAATCATGCACAAAAATTATGTAAAAAAAAAAAAAATCTTACACGTTAAGTGGATTTGAGGTACCGCCACCGAGACGTCGGTATCTCCAGAGCAGCGCCTTTTACAGTTCGTCCCCGAAACGCGTAGAGTAACACTTTTTTTAAATATTTTTTCATGTGCACTACTTCAGTACCTTTCCCAGCTTTGTACGCTATGTATGAAACGGAGTATAGTGAAAATCTAGGAGGCAGTAGGCAAGTTCTACCACGCAGTCCTGATGTTGGGCCGAGACCTAAACAAATATCAAAAAATTTGATTTGTAAGCTATGACTAATCAAGGCAGGAGTGACAGGCGGTACGCTACAAACTCCCTGACATCACTTGTACAGCAATATTTCAAAGGGATGGCCGTATTTTGGGAATGAAAGGGAGCAATTCAACAAGGCTGACGGGACATACTCTCGTCATGATTCTTCATCCCCTCTCCTCTTCGCTAAGTTGCCTTGAGAAAGTGAACCGAAGCGAGGAGAAAAGTGAGGCCGCTTCTCATTCTAAACTGTTCTGTGAGAATTGTGCCGCTCTTTGCCCTAATTACAGCCATCCGTCTGCAAGTGCTGCTGTGGGACGAATATTTCAGACACGAGCCTAATGTACTGCATTTGGGACAAGATGCTTGAAAAAAGTGCAATTAGTCAATACGTAATAATAATAAAAAAAATTTCACTTAAAAAAATAAAAATCTGGAAGCTTAGAATTTTACATATAAGCCAACTACTGAGTCTGCTCGGCTGGCTCAGAACAGATGCAGTGAGCACCATTGGTGGCGTATGCAGCGCGTTGTCTGCTACTGAAGCTTAAGCGCGAAACACATGTGCGACGGAACCGTCCGATCTGACGTCCGACCACGCAATACGACGGTCGGAGGCGAGGGTTTTCAAAGCTCTCCGATGCTACGAAAACCCTCTCTCCCAAAGTCATTCCGGCAGTCCGCACGTCGGATCGGACGGTTTCGTCGTACATGTGTTTCACGCTTTACTGCGTCTGCACTGAGCTTCCCGTTGCCCCAGCAGCTGTCAAAACGCGGAGCACCGTCCATCCATCAGCGAGTTCCCCCTAACAGTAGGTAGCTCTATACATTCCTACTGGCAAAGGCTTGCTGTATCAGCAAGCTTTTGCCAGTAGGTGGCACATTTCCATGTGCCAGCAGGCACATGGAAATTAAGCTATTTGAAACATGAACTTGCCTTCTGCATGGAGTCTCCAACTCCACCTTCAGGGAGGTTGTTGAGAATCCTTGGCACTGCTACTCTTGCCTTCTGCATTTTTTGGATGAGAAGTTCAACTGTCCCTGCGAAGATTGTGGGTAACGTGCCAAACCATAGCATTACTTTTGAAAATTAGAACAAGCAATCACGCACATCACATCGCCTCGCACTAGTGGAGAACATGAAAGCTTCTATGTTCTGATTTCAAAACGTCTTAAGATGGAGTGACTCCATTTTTAGCACACCAGCTTACGGAGCCTTTACTCGACTAGCATAGGTGTCTAATAGCGAGTTCGTTTCACACGCACTGGCGCTGTTCGAGTTCTCTCCCAGAATGCATCGCACTCGCAGAGTGTTGCACGGAAAACTGGAATCAAACGAACTCGCCAGATGCACCGAGTGCAGAAAACCAAGTCCAGAAAACTGATGCTGCCGCCATCTATGTCATGGAAAAGGTACCAACCTCAAACCGAAAATAGCGTTTTTCTGTTCGGAGTCATGGGTGGAAATGCGAGAGTGCAGTCGCTACCAACGTTTATCTACAAACGTTGGTCGCTGCAACCTGTAGTTTATCATTTCGTCGTTTACCCTGAGACTGGGGGGTCTCAGGGTAAACGACGAAATGGTTGACTTCCACCAGCTAGCCTGTACTTTGACTCTTTTCTGTAGTTTATATTTGCGATGACTTCAAGCAACTGGGCTGTCGTAAAGATGGTTACAGACGGCGTAAATTTCCGCAGCCAGCTGTCTACAAAGCAGCTGGTTGCGATCTCTTTATAGCCGCTTACACTGAAGAAAACTGATGATGCTGTCCGAGCAGAAGCTTGACCCATTTGAGCATGGTATCATACGTGAACCACTGAAAGGGTACGGCTTAAAAACTTGTCTCTTAGAATATCCAGCAAAACTTTTCGTGGGACTTTCGATTTCGATCATCATTACAGGTGAATCAGATATTAGCCGTGGTGAGGCGTCGAGAAAGAGCTTTCTCGAACAAAATACGACGGGGTACCTTAGCTTACGTAGGTAAATGTTAAACATTTGTCGACAAAACACGAGTTTTGTCGACAAATGTTCAATTTTTCACCCGCGCACGGATGGTGATAAACATATCGAGGGCCGCTGATGCGTCTGTTCTGAGCATTTCTTTACACACCGGTATATTTCAGCGTCTGTACGGCAACGGAGCGACTTAAAACCTGCAAATAAAGCACGGTTTGTCAGTTGCTTCCTTCATGAAGTAGCAGACGCTTACAATTCAAGCTCGCATTTGATTCCTTTGCCCGCGGGACCCGATTTCTATCAAAAAATCTACTTTTTTTTCCTTTCGGTTCCGCGACACATCGTAGCAGACGAGTCCTCGTCGTCTGCTCATCGCTCCTCGCCGGAGCGAGGCATGACGGGATTGCATTTTGGCGCACTCACGATTTCCTCGGTGCAGCGAGTGCATGCACGCGTGGGGTGTTGGCGCTGAAACGAACTCTTAAGCGCGAAACACACGTACGACGAAACCGTCCGATCCGACGTCCGACCGCGCAATACGACGGTCGGAGGCGAGGGTTTTCAACGCTCTCCGATGCTACGGAAACCCTCGCCCCCAAGGTCATTCCGGCAGTCCGCACGTCGGATCGGACGGTTTCGTCGTACATGTGTTTCGCGCTATAGAGTGCAACCACTCGCGGAGTGCCGGCTGAAACGAACCCGCTCCACGTTGCGAGTGGGCACGCGTGGGCACGAGTGCCGTGGAACGAACTCGCTATAAAACATTTCATGCGTGACGCTCATGGGTGGCGCTTCACCTTTGTTTTTGTTCCTCGAATGCAGCCTTCACACTAAAAAAGTACAGTACATGCATTCGTAACACCCGTTTTCAAATAGCCCGAATTAGAGCTTTTGTGAAACCATGTGCCTTCACTGCGCAAGTACTTGAACGATGGGGGCATTTGTTAGAAGTAAGGCGCACTTGTTCGTGCCCGGCCGCCCTGCTCCACGTGCGTATTAGCTCACACAAAAATCTCCAGAACCGACGATTCCTGAGCATGGTATCTTAAAAAAGGTATCACACGAATACACATACCTCCAAGCATCTCCACCGTCGCTTCGTAGTAGCCTTCTTCCCCTCCTTTCTCAGAGATCCAGAACGCTTCAAGCTTTTGTTTTGGGTTGCAGTCTTGATCATCCCTAGGCCTAAACTTCTTTATCATCGAGATCGGCATAACCAGTCGGCCACCGTCGGTAAACTTTACAAATGCGTACATCGCCCAACGGACGCCCACAACACCCGCGACGCAAAAAAACCGAGCGTACGGGCGGTCGAGGTCCAGCCGTCCACCTCTAACGGTCGAGCAATGATGGGGACGCGGGCAAGCAACGATAAAGCAATTATGGCGACGCAGACGGTCAAACGCAGGCACGCAAGAGACGACAGAAAGCGCGCGCAAGACAGGGACTGGGCTTGGCTAGGCTGCGCCTGTATGAATAGACAAATAAACAAAATTGACTATTATTTTTATATTGGACGGTAGCTCGCGCCACCTAGGTTTTAAGAGACGAAAGCAGTTTTTTTTGGCCTCTAACATTTTATTTTGGTTTTGGTAAGTCTTGACATTTTGGCATCTTGCTGGAACTACGTTTTACTATACTCCGTTCCACCATCAGTCCGAGCGCAGTGGACGCCACCAGCTATTCCAGCCTATCCAGCGCCGGGAGAAAATCGCGTGACCTGCCGGTTGGGCAGAGCGGCGCAGGGAGTTCAAGGTCACATGACACTCTCTCTACGCGGGATTGGCTTGGATGGCTCCTAGCGTCCGCTGCGCTCGGACTGAAGGTTAAACGGAGTATAGTTCTATTTTATTTTTCCGGTGTAAGAAACCGGGTTCCGATTGCTCACAAACACCTAGAACGTAGTCAATCCAAGTCTCATTGACTATGGTCTCCATTATCCTTTCAACAAGTGGCGCCAAGTTCTTTGTCTGTTAAGTTTTAGCTGCAATGGAAAGCTCACCGGGTGCCAAGCGTCGGAAATGTTACTTGGCAGAGAGTGAGCCTTTTGTGATGCCTAGATCAACGCAATATTTTCACAGTACAAGGGATGCTCAGTACCCTGGAGACCCCCCTCATGACGTGCTCACCCCGTTAACTCGAGTTCCCCAAGCACTAAAATCCGCTGGGAATAATTCTGATGACGAGGACTGCCATTCCGAAGAATCCGAATTGAGCACAGATGCCGAACGCGAGCGTTCGGAATTGTTAAATGCTAGCGACGAGAACTACGATGTTCAAGACGACGTCGTGAACTCTGGTGAGGACTATGGAGATGATGATGACGAGATGAATGGAAATGACCCTGTACCACAGCCCTTGCTCGAACACCTTCTGTCGTCCTGTTTCAATCAGTTCGGGACGGAGACACTTCCCCATTCTACGACGACAAAAGCCGGCGCCATCGCCATGATAATGGCGCACGTCGTATCGCAGGGCATGACGTGGTCGGGCCTCGATTCTTTGCTCGTGCTCATCAATGCCCTGTTTGGAAGGCAAGTCGTGCCGCAAAGCAAATATGCTTTCCGCAAGCTTTGGTCAGCAACGACGAAAAACTTGGTTCGCCACTACTACCTTTGTGAGGGCTGTGGAGCAGTTCTGGAAGACGCAGAGACTGCAGCCAGCTGCTCAGTGTGCCAGCAAGGGATAGATCTGAAGGTGCTAAAAGAGAATGGATCCTACTTCGTAATGCTTGACATGACGAAGCAACTGTCCTTCGTTATTGAGAAGACCAAGGAGCTTTTTCACAACAACCTCCTGAAGCTTGCCATGGAACGTAGTACCTCATCAAGCGGAAGTGGTGTCACTGACATAACAACAGGTGAAGCCTATGATGCTCTGCGCAGAAAGACTGGGATGGGGGACAGTGATCTTTCTTTGACTTTTAACACAGACGGCAGTCCTCTCTTCGTGTCATCCAAACCGTCTGTTTGGCCTATTCAATTCACTGTGAATGAGCTCCCTCCAAGCATCCGCTTCAAGCACACCACACTAGCCGGACTTTGGTTCGGAAAAGGCCATCCAAACATGACTGCCTTCCTCGCAAAGTTTGTTGATCAAGTCAAAAGCATGACGCCCGTGATGTGGGAGCATAGCTCTGAGATGCACAGGTCCAGAGCTTATGTGCTCTGCTGCTGTGTCGACGCACCTGCGAGGGCAGCAGTTCAGAACATGGTACTTTTCAACGGCTCGTTTGGATGTCCCTGGTGCCTCATAAGTGGGGAACACCTGGAAGGTATGTATCGGTCTTCTTGCACGTGCACATTGCAGTTCAAACTAAACATTATGTTTTTCTGAGCCTACTGGGTGCAACCTCACAATATATTTTCGTTTATTTTTATTCACAGGAAGCATGCGCTACGTGCCCAAGGAACCACCGGCTCCAAGAACATCTGAGCTTGTGGTCCGAGATATGCAGCTTTCCTTGAGATTGGGGATCACCATAAATGGAATCAAGGGTCCTTCTCCGCTAATAGATCTACCAGGTGTGGCTTTTTCCCTGAATGTCTAAAGAACAGGGTCAGATTATCCAAGGTTCAAGCGATCGAAGCAAACTGTTTCACACTGAGAACAGAAAGTATTAGTCACACAAAATCTTTGTGATTTTGATTCTGTTTTCGAATAGCACAATGCTCCGCACGTTGATCACTTAATTGTGCTAATCTCTTTGGGTTCCGACTGTACTCTGATATGTTACATTCTTACTTTCTGAGATTATGAACTACATACTTTTGTACTCTCAATGCACTGTTGATTTGCAAATGTTCAGTAGCAGATGCTCAGCGAAGATGACCACAGCCGTGCCCCCAATTTCTCCCCAAGGTCTGTTAGCTGATGTTACGACGGGCTACTTGGATGCGCTGTGAATTAATTTTCTATTTTAAGTTTGCAAGCCAATACTTATTTCAGGCTGCAACAGTGGAAAAATCGGTGATCAGTGGCGCCCAACTGAAAGATGCGAAGTACTTTGCACAAGCATACTGACACAAGCGTGACACAAGTATACTCACACGTAACACTGCTGAGCCACAAGTTTTGTGGTTGCTGTGTAATCTCAAGAGTAAGACAAGACTGTTCCCTTCCTTCCCTCCTTTGCAAAGCTTGGGGAAAAATTCATAGGGCCACGGCAGAGGCAGGGCTAGCATTCTGCCTGCCTATGCTTGTAAGAGTGCCACCTCCCCCCTAATTGTTTTTTTTTCACATAAGCTTAGCCAACAGTGGTCTCTAAGAAAGATTCCGTTGAAACAGACAGTAGAGGCAGTACATACACGCAAATTTCTTCTGAAATTCACGTCCATGCTCATTTGTACGAAGCGCTAAGAAGAGCATTTTGTAATGGTTTTCGATGGTAAAACCTGTCAATATTCTCTGATCGGCAATCGACCGTTCAATAAAATTGTACTCTATTTCGGTTTCAGAGAAACCTTTTGGAACACCTAATTGATGTTTTGATTTTCCAATTCACAGAGTAGCTGACCAGCATACTTGCGGAGTTAATATACTAATATTTTTTCTTTCACCGAAAAAGCAGGAGGTACACTAAAAGATTCAATGTCATGAACTGTTACCAGCTATACTCTTGGAATTATTGAACTTGTGATTCGTCAGTTGCATGCTTTTTTGCAGTCCCTAGAGTTAAAAACTGAGAGACATGTAACATTTACTTTCAGGATTTGATCTTGTGGCCGGAGTGAGCGTCGAGTATATGCACGCCGTTCTTCAAGGAGCAGCAAAGCAGTTTACAGAACTGCTGCTTTCTTCATCCAACTCTCAAAAATGGTTCTACATAGGTACGTCGTACAGTACCAAAATGTCTCATTTCCAGTTACAAGTTGGCGCATAAGTTGCTCTTTTCATAATTTGTGGCACCTCTTCGACCTATTTTTACCTTAATGGTGTTTACCAGGCCAATTCCTGACTTGAATCTTTACATACTAGTACTATTCGCGTTTCCTGCTCGTTACTTGCCCACTGAGCAGAAGCAGGGAGTTCTCCAGTGAGGGTCCCCCCTTGTTACTAGCTCCACAGTCCGGGCAAACCTAGAGATGTTGCAAACCTCCCAAGGTTCGAGTTCGAAAGTTTGAAGATATTGAATACTTTGAACCTTGCAACCTCGGACTTTCAGTCCGAGATCGCAAGGTACAAATTTTATGGGGTCTGGGTTTCGCACAGTCTCAAATTCATCTTCATGCTATTAATCATTTTTATCAGAATATCTTCTAGGTGTAACTCTATATATAGCAGCATTTTCGTCCACTTTGAAGCTGACACAAATGCCATTAGTGGTTGCCTAGGTTTTGCCAAATCTCCAGATCTGGAAAATCAGAATTTTAGCTTAACCTTCAAGAAGATTAGGCATAGATTGGGCAAAAGAGAATTGCCAGGCTGGTTGACCGATTTTGATTAGCTCTACAGCTGCTTGTCACATTTTTTAATATGTATCTAAAACTAAGTATATTTACAGATACATATAACAATCGCTAAGCAAAATGTTATCGATACAGGTGTCTTTGTTAGCTGCTCCAAATTTTCAAAAAAAATAGAACATGAAATAGGGTAATGTGAGCCCTGAGGCAGTGTTAGTAGCCATGGTGGCTACTAGAAAAAAAGGCGAAATTAGGTAACAATTGTTAGCGACTAACTCAAATGTTATATTAACTTTTCAGTTTTTCACTTGAGTGCACCTAATATGTCTAGAGGATGTAGGCTTGACCTCAATATGGTCTAACGGTGCCATTAAATTTTGATTAAAGAATTTGTGGTAGGCACTATGGGGTCGAGAAATGTCACGGTACTGAGCATCGGACTGAAACAAAGCGGACAATCGCACCGGTAATGTCATCGCTTTGCATGACACTGCTGACGTCCCCTGTGGCGGGGCACGTGAATCGACGTTATTGCAGCCGGCTTCACTTAGACAAGCCAAGCCGGCTGCGATAGCTTCAACCCACGTGCTTGCACCGCAGCTGACATCAGCAGTGTGACAAAAAGCAATGAAGTCACCGGCGCTTTTGCTCTCTTAGTTTCAACTTGGCACCGTGTACCAGGGTGACATTTCTCGGCCCTGTAGCGTTCACAAATTTTTAACGAGAATTTGACGGCACGGCTAAACCATTATAAGGTCAAGCTTAGTTCATTAGCTAACTAATTACCCAAATTTGCCTTTTTTCTAGTGGCCACCATGCCCCGGGCCCAATTTACCCTACCTCCCATTTTCTTTTTTTTTTAAATTTTGTTGCAGCTAATAAAAATATTACGTATAGTAATGGTAACAGTGTCTTTTTAGCATGTTTATTTACAAAACAACGTTGATTTTCTTCAAAATGGTCACGGCATTCAATTTTAGTTTGTGTTTTGCAAAATCATAGCATGGGTGCCCATCTTTGATGGCCAGAGTGCATCC